GTGTTAATTTATTAAAGACACTGCAAGCACTCGCCCCTGCCTTTCAGCCTCTGCATTTGGGTCCAAAACCACAACCAAACCCTGACAGGACTGCATAAAACCACTCTGCTCATCTTAGGTCTCTGGTTTGTTTTCTTTATGATGCAAAGATGCATATCAACGCACACATCTTTGAAGAAAGCCAGTGGTTACATGAGGACACGAAAACATCAATGTTAGTAATAAATGTAATATAACAGCTTGAAAAAGCAAGGCTATGAAAAAAAGAAAACCAAGAAAAAATCCTTGAGGAACCCCTAAGGTGATCTTTGTTTTCTAGGATTTAAAAATACCAAATTGCTAAATAATTGGGAAACAAGTTGGATTGCCTGAAATACAGTGTTTTTTTGTTTTGTTTTTTAGCATATCAGAGGTATATTATGTAGGTACTCTAAGTCTTCACAAAGTTGCAATGCATATGAATTATTTCTGTAGTTTATACACAGAAGGAAGGCGAGCACATTCAGTGATTTTTGATGCTTGAAATTAAAACATGGTCTCAACTTCACCAAACAGTTGATCTTTTTTATTCTTCTTTCTACAGATGCAGCTTAGAGATTATGTGTTTGAGTGTCGACACAAACCAGCATTTAGTGAGGAGGATATTGTGAACATGTTTCCTGTGATCAAACACCTCAAATCTTCTTCAGCTCATGCTACAGAACTTTTACAGCGAGCACAGCTGGCAGTACAGCAGGGTAAGGGGCATGGTACCAATGCCATTGCAATGTTTGCTGTGTTTACATTGCACCTCGTTTGCTAAGGTAATCCTACAGACTGCTTAAATGAGCAGCTCTAATGTTGCAATTAGCTTGACATTCTGTAATTTACAGGCTTGAAGGAAAACATCATCAGGACTAGAAGAGGGTAAAACAAAGGCACAAGATGAAATTTTGCAGTTGTCATCTTGATTTTAATTGGAAAAAGTTTAACAAACACCTTTAACTTGCAGCAGAATAATACTTGCCTAACAACAGATTTTATTTTCTTTCTTTTTGCTGCATATAAATGTTTCAGACCATCAAACAAATTTTAATTCTTGTAAAAGAAAATCTGAGTGAGTGCCCAAGGAAGTTTTGATGATTTGATTTAATAAGGTACAAAAAAGATTTCCAAACCAACTTGATGTGAAAATCTAACTTCCCCACATTTTTGAATTATGATTAAACTGTAATCATAAATATTTCTAAACAGCTGTATCCAACCTAATTAGCCATGTCCAGGCCAGATTACTCCCAGATGGGTACAATCAAGGTTTCACTTCAATACAACAGACCCAATCTAAAGAAATTCAGAA